AAGGCGCGGGCCCCCGCCCCCCACGGGGGGGGGGGGGGGGGGGGGGGGGGGGCGAGAAGCAGCTGCTGTGGGGCCCAGTGATACAAAAGGGACTAAAGTTTCTGGCTGCCACCCCTACCGCATTGACATCCGGAGCCCTGGACTCTTTATACCCAGCATGCAATGTGCTCTGGGCAGCAATGAGAGGTGCCTAGGGGAGATGTAGCACTCTCCAGACAGTGCTGAGGGTGGCCTAGCCCCAGTCTTGCCCCTTCCTGGGGCACAGATCAGGGTCCCCTCACCTTGCCCAGGAGTCTGGTGAGGCTGTCAGCCCCACTGGCCTGATCCAAACATCCATAATCTGAAGACGCACAAAACGGAGTGGATTTAAATCCATATTTTTACTTCTTAACTGGCCCCCTGCTATAATGATCCCTAATCCAATACCTCTAAGGGTTCTAAACATTCAGATTTTTGTCTAAATGTTCAGAAACTTAGCACTGCATTGACAGGGTCCATCCTGTGTGTGGAACATAAATCCATACCACTTGTAGGCCTTGCCTAGATAACAAGGACATTCTGATCAGTGCACTTTGCAGCTTTTGTTCTTGTCCACTACTGGTCTATTAGTTAACCAAAGGAGCCAAGAGAAAAGGCTGTCTAAAGTCTCCTTTTGAATTTATATTTTGGTCTGCTGACTAAATCAGTTCATCCATCCAATTATAAAATTTAAAACACTTCTGAAACAGCAGAAATTGTCTAAAATTATAGATACTTCAAAATAATCTGGACAAACTGGAGAAATGGTCTGAGGCAAACAGGATGAAATTCAATAAGGACACATTTAAAGTACTCCACATTGGAAGGAACATTAAGTTTCACACATACAAAATGGGAAGTGATTATCTAGGAAGGAGTTCTGCAGAAAGGAACCTAGGAGTCATGATGGACCACAAGCTAAATAAGAGTCAACAGTATGATACTTTTGGGAAAAAATTAAACCTCATTCTGGGATGTATTAACAGGAGTGTTGTTTAGTCTGGAAAAGAGAAGACAGAGGAGACAGGATAATAGTTTTCAAGTACTTGAAAGAATGTTACAAGGAGGAGGGAGAAACACTCTTCCCCTTTACTCCTGAGGACAGGACAAGATGCAATGGCTATAAATTGTAGCAAGGGAGGTTTAGGTTGGACATTAGGAAAAACTTTCTAATTGCTTAGAGAGGTGGTGGGCTTCCATCATTGGAGATTTTAAAGAGCAGCTTAGACAAATTCCTGTCAGGGATGCTTGGTCCTGTGATGAGTGCAGAGGACTGGACTTGATGACATCTTGAGGTTCTTTCTGGTTCTCTGATTCTCTGATTGTATTTTTACAAAACTATCTGCGCCATTCATTCATCACTGCCAGAGGCCTCAAAATGAGTTAGTATTAAATTTTAGGAATAAAATCTGAGCCTTTTGGAAACCGACTTATTTATGAAAGTGCAATGTACTTTTATGTGTGATCTCTGATTGGGTAAAACACGCCATAAATTTGGTATTAATGAAGGACAATGTAGTAATACAATAAACAGAGAAAAACTTAAAAAACAACAAATACCCTAGCAGCACCTTAAAGGCTAACAAAACATGCAGATGGTATCATGAGCTTTCGTGGGTACAACCCACTTCTTCAGATGAATAGAGTATTAAAAGTCCAGTTCCAAAATAAATAGGGGATGGGCTGGGGAGAAGGAAGGGGGAAAATAGTGAATTAGAGTGTTCATGTCACATGAAGCTGATAGAGAAGGTTCAAATTGTTTTTAAGTCATGAGGATGTGGAAGGGAGTGTGCTAGCCAGGTAATGTCTTCATTCATACCTTTGTGATGGGTCTCAAACCTGTAAATGAAGTTATCTTTTGAAGAGAGATCAAGTGATAGTGGCTTGTTGGGTTTAAGTAAAGCCCAGAGAGTGAAAGCAACTGGGTGACCAAAATCCATTAGATGGGGGAAAAAAAATCTACAGCAGCCTTTCAGCAAATTAGGAAGACAGCTTTTTAAATAAAATGTTGGATCTCTTTTTGGGAAGATAAGTGTTTTTACTCCTGTGGGCTCCCTTTCCTATAGGAGTCTCTGACTTTTACTGAGAGGATCCTTGGTGCTACAGTCTAGCCCTAGAGACTACAATTCCCAGGATGCCTTGGGAAAAAGGAGGGAAACTGTTGCTCTCTTCCAAGCAGTGGAGGGAGGGAGGTGGTGGGCTCCAGTTTGGAGAAAGGAGCCAGATTGCTGGTGTGGAGCCGTTTCCAGTCTAGCAGCTACAGCTGGAAGCTAGAGCCTGCTGGGGCTTGGATCTAGCAGGCTGCATTGGGGGCTGTTCGTGATTGTTCCTGGAGGGGAGAACCTCTGGCTGTGCCTGTGGCTGAGAAGGGCCTGCACAGGAGGTGACTGTGAGTAACGCTGGCTGTTTGGGAAAATGCTGCTTAGGACAGAGCACAGAAGAAAAACTGACTCTGGGTCTGAAGAGAGGCACAGTGATCTGCCCAGGGCACTAGAGCTGCTGGCATTTGGTGGGGCCAACTCCAGCATCAGAGAAATTGTGCAGCTTGTTGCTTTGCCTGGACTGACACACACACAAGCTGCCCAGTGCCGTCTCCACTCCATCTGCAAATCTTCAAGCGCGCCCACTCAAGCAAGGGTCTGGGACTCTGAATCCAGAGGAGGGCACACTCTGGGGTGGGATAAACGGTGTCAATGCAAATGCCAGATAGCTAAGTTTCCTTTAATTCTGTGCACTTTGTTCATTGATTTCTTCCCCTTTATGAGGCTCAGGTGAGGCCACATCTGGAGTGTTGTGTCCAGTTCTGGGGCCCCCACTATAGAAAAGATGTGGACACATTGGAGAGGGTCCAGCGGAGGGCAACCAAAATGATTAGAGGGCTGGAGCACATGACCTATAAGGAGAGGCTGAGGGATTTGGGTTTGTTTAGTCTGCAGAAGAGAAGAGTGAGGGGATTTGATAGCAGCTTTCAACTAACTGACGGGAGGTTCCAAAGAGGATGGAGAGAGACTGTTCTCAGTGGTGATGGATGGCAGAACAAGGAGCAATCGCCTCAAGTTACAGTGGAAGAGGTCTAGGTCAGATATTAGGAAAAACTATTTCCCTAGGAGGGTGGTGAAGCACTGGCATAGGTTACTTAGGGAAGGGGTGGAATCTCCATCCCTAGAGGTGTTTAAGTCTTGGCTTGACAAAGCCCTGGCTGGGATGATTGAGTTGGGATTGGTCCTGCCTTGGGCAGGGGGCTGGACTTGATGGCCTCCTGAAGTCTCTTCCAGCCCTAGGATTGTATGATTCTATGATTTTATTCAATCTTAGTCTATTAAACTCTGTTTCTTTAAGGGTACGTCTACACTAGCCCCCTAGTTCGAACTAGGGAGGCTAATGAGGGCGACCGAAATTGCAAATGAAGTGCGGGATTTAAATATCCTGCATTTCATTAGCATGTTGCCGGCCAGTTGCCATCTTGGAAATTGACTAGCCCAGAATAACTGCCCGCGTCCACTTCATGGAATGAGGTTTAACTGTTAATTCGAAATAAGGGATTATCTCGGAATCGCGCTTCTCTGCCACGTGTAGACACGGGCAGTTATTCCGGGCTAGTCAATTTCCAAAATTGCGACTGGCTGGGAACATGCTAATGAAGCGTGGGATATTTAAATCCCATTTGCAATTTCGTTTGCCCTCATTAGCCTTCCTAGTTCGAACTGGGGGCTAGTGTAGATGTACCCTAAGTGGTTAAGTAAAAGTGTGTTAATTCTAATTTAATCAATTAGATGCATTTTATTTAAAATTGTTGTTTTGGAGTTAGAGCCAGATTATTACTGGATTAAATTTATTCCTGGAGACTCCCAGGGCACTCCCTTAAATGTGTACGGGGCCAGCCAGGAGGAGGCACTGCCATTGTATATTCCCTTAGAAGCAAGGGACTCCACCAAAGGGGTGTATCCAACATCACCACTGAGATACTCAGAATTTCCTTTAGTGTTAAAAACATTGGGCACCCAAGCACACAGGTGGGCATTGCCTGCTCCCAAATAACCCAGGTAGGGAAGAGGGGGTTATATTCCTATGTAGCAGCAAAAAGAAACGATTGAAAATATTTCATTCTATTGACATCAGGCTGGATTTTTAAAATCTAATCTCTAATCCCTTTTGCACCTGCAACATGTAAGTATAAACCTCAGGTTGGTTAGATGCCTAATTACCAAATACATGGACAAAGTCAGGTAGACATAGATATTAAATTTGGGTCTCAGGTTACCTGAACCCAGAAAACCATGAGTGTACAAATGGAGACAGAGTTAAATGAAAATCAGATGCTCTCTTAAATAAAGAAAAATGCATAAGGACATTTCTTACCCTTGGATTGTGGAGGAGGCAGACTTTGTCCATGAGAGTTTGGAGTTTTGACCACCATACTTCAGCACAGCTCCTTCCTTTGACACCCGGACTTGCACACGACGATCCAAGTAGGTAATTTCAAACAGCACAAAGTGACTTGCATTTCTCCCAAGCTTGCCAGTCACAGAGATTCCTGAAAAGCCATTAATATAGAGTAGTCACGGGATACAATATTAATAATAAATAAATGATAAGTAAAGCCCTGGCTGGGATGATTGAGTTGGGTTGGCCCTGCTTTGGGCAGGGGGTGGACTCGATGACTCCTGAGGTCTCTTCCAGCTCTAGGATTCTATGAAATAAATCAAACCAAACCAAACCATTCATTGTTACCGCTCATGTGTAAGTGTGTTGTATTTAAGGGGACAAAATTCAGCTCTGGGGCTGCATCCTGCTTCCATTTTCACTTGTGTAGAATTCACTCTCCAAATATCCTCTGTGGTCACAACCACGAAAAAGACATTTGGGGCCAAAAAGACATTTGGGGCAATGTCTCCGGCCCTGGGTGCTCACTGTCTTTCACAGATTACTCTGGACCTTAGCAGCAACAGGCTGCCAGGCGTGGAACTACAGACCATGAGAACACAAGCTCACATTACTTCTGCTGATGATTTCATAATGTGTGTGTACTAGAAAGACTACAGCCTGCCTTGTGTATAGTAAAGATTTGTATTCATAATCAAAAGCCTCACAAGATTGGCCAAGAGGAGGAGCCTCCAAAGAGACTCATCAAAATCCACCCTTTTGGTGAAAAATGTTTTGTCGACATTAGGAATGTCAATATGTGGTTGAGTTTAAAGGACATCATTTTGAGCACCTATCTACAGCATGCTTTATGAAAAGTAGATCTTTTTTTGGGGGGGGGGGGGGGGGGGGGGGGGGGAGAGGGAAGCGGAAGTCAGTGTCATGAAGAACTGGCTTTTAAGCTGGGTCCCCATGAGCACCAGATCCACATAAACCACCTCTCCCCTCCTCTCCCCACTGCCTCTGATAGAGAGGCAGCATCACCGAGAGTGAGGGGAGCAAGCGGGAGCTGGTACACGTGGGAAGCTGGCTTTTAAGGTATTTCCCCATGAATGTCATCTCAAGCTAGCTGCCTGTCCCCCACCCCCATGCTGCTGCCTCTTTATAAGAGGCAGCAGCGCAGAGAGGGAGGGTGGGCAGCAGCTGATATGCGTGGGGAACCAGCTTTTAAGCCCTCCATGGAACTGCCCGTCCCCACCCCACCCCAGGGGCAGCAGCATGGGGTTGCAGAGGGTTCCCTGGGAGTGGGGCCAGGACTGCGTTGGCTGCTGGCCCCGCCCTTGGGAACTATAGAATAGTCATGTCACCGGTAATATTTTGTGTGGTGACATGACTATTCGATTAATCACTACCTAATATCCCTAGTTAGCATATTCCTGAGCAGCAGTAGCTAACTTTTTATATTATATAGACAATCTCACCTTTTTCGGGATCTGATATTAGGTTTATGAAAGATTGCGGTTGTCCATCAATATTTAAACAAATGACTTCATTTTGTCTGGGCAATTGCAAGATGAAATGTGGATATTCTATAAAAACAGAGAGAGAGACTGAGAGCTCTTTAAAGTTCTAAGAAAAAATTCAAACAGCATTGAAATTGCAAGTGTTAGTAGCGTTGAGTCAGTCATTAGTATGATGATTCAATCTCTTCTAGAATGTGAACTAGAGGCTCAAACACCTCCTCTATCAGCTCCTTGAGTATTCTAGGATGCATTTCATCAGGCCCTGGTGACTTGCAGGCATCTAACTTTTCTAGGTGATTTTTAACTTGTTCTTTTTTTATTTTACCTTCTAAAATTACCCCCTTTCCACTAGCATTCACTATGTTAGGCATTCCTACAGACTTCTCAGTAAAGACCGAAACAAAGAAGTCATTGAGCATCTCTGCCATTTCCAAGTTCAGTGGACACCTCCAATTCTTTGATGTCACACACAGACACCTAATCATAGCTCTAATTTTATGTGGGGTTTTTCTTTTGTTTTCTTTTTAAAAGAAACAACACATTATAGATTTTAAAATAAAATGGGAAAGACACATGCATCTTGCCAATGGTGAAGTTCAAGTTGTACGTTTGATTGCAAATTTGAGGAACTGGGCGTGATTAACTGGACAGGGAATGGAAAGGGAGTTAATTGTGGAGTTGATAAGACTGACCATGTTGTTGAGTGTTGCAATGTTTGAATGGTGAAGAACATACACTAAAGTTGGGCTGAATGTTAATATCATCCTAATTGGTAATATCCTTGATGCTGAGTGATTACATGGACTGGAAATACATCAAGTAACCTTTAACTGTAAATTAGAGCAGTTTTTACTTTGGGGGAAATATAATTGCACATTTTTTGTACAACCTTAAGGGCGTGTGTAGCATCTTATGTTCTGCATACCACTGTGCATACTCAAGATACAATTCATGCAGATCATTTATACATAAAGGCTGTGTCTACACTGGGCCACTTATTCCGGAAAATCAGCCGCTTTTCTGGAATAAGCTGCGAGCTGTCTACACTGGGCTCTACTGTACAAAATCAGCCGCTATTCCGGAAAAGCTACGCTGCTCCCTCTCGGGCATAAGTCCTTATTCCAGAACACTGTTCCGGAAAAGGGCCAGTGTAGACAGCTCAGTAGTCTTTTCCGGAAAAAAGCCCCGATCGCGAAAATGACGATCGGGGCTCTTTTCCGGAAAAGCACGTCTACATTGGCCACAGATGCTTTTCCGGAAAAAGGGCTTTTCCGGAAAAGCAGCCTGCCAATGTAGACGCTCTTTTTCCGGAAATACTTATAACGAAAACTATTCTGTTTTAAGCAGTTCCGGAAATTCATGCCAGTGTAGGCACAGCCAAACTGAGTCTCTCAGTGTAAGAGAGCAAATGTAATGATATTACTATCCATTGTTTTAGAAATAATACATCACATAATTAGAAACTGTGCTTCTGATTCTGCTCACCTACTCCAATTTTAACACTGATGTAGTTGAGCTCACTCCTGACATACAGCAGTAGAAATAAGATCAGAATCAGGCAACATACCATCATGCATATATAGGACAGATTTAGCAATTTTACATTAAACCTTAACTTTGTCATTTCCTGATTTTTGGGTGCTTATACTTTATCAACTCCTATGGAAGCTTGCTTTATTCCAGGTGTGCTTTAGAAGATGGGTTTACTGAGGGAAGAGGGAAAAAGTATTTTTTTTTTATTTCAGAAAGGACAAAGGATCTGGTTCTTCTTTTCACTTACATCAATGGCAAAATGTATGTGACTGCAGAGGAAACTGCATCAAATTCCAAAAGGGTAAGCAGAGACACTGTTTCAAGAATACTTAGCATAACCAATGAAGAATAAAAAGAAGAAATATGAAGTGGTAAATTATTCTCTGGTTTGAACAGAGAGCTAAAAGTCAGGACTTCTTGGTCCTCGCTTAATGATTGACTTGGGGCAAACCTCTTAACTTTTCTGTGTCTCAGGGTACATCTACATTGTGGGGGGTTTTCTGGGATACTGGAGGTATCTCAGAAAAACTCCGCCACGTCCAGGGAACATGTTTGTTCTTCAACTTTTTTTTTGCGGAAGAGTAAATGTGCTCTTTTGAGGAGCACTATATACCTCGTTCTATGAGGAATAAGAGCTCCTCCGAAAGAGGAGGCTTTTCTGCCATTCTAGACTGGGCCAAATGGTGGAAAAACCTGTACTGGAAAAGTGATCAGAAAAAGCTGTAGACTTAAGTGTAGACTTAGCCTCAGTTAACCCATATGTAAAAAAGAAATAATACTACTCAGGAGCGTCCGAAGGTGGGCTGCGGCAGCTGGCCCCAGGCAGAATGCGCGATCGGCGTCCCTGCCTGCGCAGCCAACAATGGGGGTGACATCATCATCGGGTGCCATTGAAGGCGGCGCCCTAAGCGACAGCTGAGTTGGCCTATAGCCACAGGCTGCCCTCGATACTACTTAACATTATCTTAGGGATGTAGTGAACATTCATTTACTTACTATTTGTAATGATCTTTGTCATTTTCATGAGAAATGTTTTATATTATATATGCTAAATAAAAGCAAAATCACTTTGTTTTCCTGGTATTATCAAGGTGTCTATTCAACAGATGTATTTCTTAGTATTTTCACATTATGGAGTTCTGTCAACATTTAGGCTGTGTCTAGACTGGCAAGTTTTTCTGCAAAAGTGAAAAAACTTGCCAGCTGTCTACACTGGCCGCTTGAATTTCCGCAAGAACACTGACGATCTCATGTAAGAAATCAGTGCTTCTTGCGGAAATACTATGCTGCTCCTGTTCGGGCAAAAGTCCTTTTGCGCAAAAGGGTGTAAACAACTCAGACTTGTTTTGCGCAAAAAAGCCCCGATCGCAAATATGGCAATCGGGACTTTTTTGCGCAAAAGCGCGTCTAGATAGGCACGGACGCTTTTCTGCAAAAAGCATCCGTGCCAATCTAGATGCTCTTTTCCGCAAATGCTTTAAACGGAAAACTTTTCAGTTAAAAGCATTTGCGGAAAATCATGCCAGTCTAGACGCAGCCTTAGAGTTTTAAAATGATAATATGACATATATTACTCACCAAGATGCTCTGGCGAAAATACAAGAGCACTGTAAACTAAAATATTTAAACTTTAGACCAATATTTCAACAAAACATTTTATTTTTCATTTCAAATAGTTAATGAAAGACAATAGGGTGGCACAAATTTTTAAGCAGAATTCTCCATGGATTTCAAGTGAATTCTGTTTAAAATTGAATGCCACCATATGGCCTAAGAAAAACAAAATATCACATTAGAATATAACCCTGTCAGAAAGGTGTTGGAAACATTTAATTTGTGCTGGTTCCATGTAGTCCTGGTGAACAGTCCTGAATTGACAGACCTGCAAATTTAAGTTGTTTATTCACAAAAGAGGAACGGCACAGACACCAGCATAGTAATCTGCCTTAGTAGAGTGTATCACCCTAACTTGGGCAGAGCACAGGTAGAGATGAGAAGATGGTGCAGTGTTCATGTATGCTCAAGTCTTTTAGTCTCCATTGGGGCGAAGTCCACAGTTTTCAATTATTGCCAGTTACGATGGTGGTTTTTTTGTGATTGCTCCTTGCTAAGATTTAGACTGATTGACCAGCAAATAAATACATGTACAGAAACAGAACAGTTACCAGATGATAGTACATTTTGGCCTCTGCCAACTTGGGATAGATTAGTTCAATGACTAGCAAGGCTGCCGGGGGGGAAGAGGAGGAGATGAAAGGGACAGTAGCCCCACAGCCCAGCGATTCAAAGGGACCTGTGGCTACCAGCAGCCACTGCTGCAGCCACCATCACTTTGGTAGCTGCCATGACGGGAACCCTAGGCCCTTTAAATCACTGCTGGAGTCCCGGGAGGCACTGATGGGCTGGTTGGGGGAGGCTAGCCCCCAGCCCCGCCCTTCTACCCAAGGCCCCACCCCTTTTGGGGACCCAAGCGACATCCTCCCCCTCCCCCCCAGGCCTGGCAAAGACTCTCCTCAGCCCTGAAGGTTAGAAATGAAATCTCACGCACTGTTTTATTCATTCAGAGTCATTCCCATACCCCAAAATTCACAATGTAAATGAATTCTTACAACTTACCCCCTGGTAATGGTTTTCTTCTCCTGAAAGAGTCGGGCTTACGGACTAATATTTGAAAGAAGAGACCAACATTTAGAAGATTGTTTAGAAACTGAAATTAATATTATAAAGTGAATAGTTTGTCAATTTTCTGTGTATGGTTGCCCACATTCCCCTCTCTCTCCATCGTCTGGTTATGCACGTGGCCTATATTGTGGAGAGGGTTTCTCAGGGAAAAGAGATGTATTCTTTCCCCTCTCCAGCCCACAGGGCAGCACTGGGGCTGGGCCATGCCTGTGACAACAGCTCTCAATCTGCAATAGAATTTGCAGCTCTTGCTCCCTCCCCTCCCCAAATAGAGAAATGGCCAGTGGATCCGCCATCCACGCAGCCCCTTGACTACGTCCTTGAACCATGACCCCACTCCAAGCACAGCAAAAGTGCACCACATCTGCTGAGCCGTGGCTCTAAGGACAGAGCATGCCACATAGAAAACATAGAAAGGAGGATCACTGATAAAAACAAGTAGCTGAATCCACTAGGATTAGAGCTCATGGACAGTGATTGTGCTTTCAAATCATCACTGTCCACGAGGTATACAGATAGTTCGGAATGGCTTGCTAGTTCGAACTATCTAGCCCGTGCCGCGTGTAGCCGCGCGGCACAGGGTTCGAACAAGCCTGGATTTAAAAATGGCGCCGGCCGGCTTATGCAAATGAAGCCCGGGAAATTCAAATCCCGGGCTTCATTTGCAAGTGCGGTATGCCTACATTACCACCCTAGTTCGAACTAGGTGGTAGTGTAGACATACCCAAAGTGATTAGGAAAAGTCAGCATGGATTCACAAAGGGCAAGTCGTGCCTGACCAATCTGATTAGCTTCTATGATGAGGTAACTGGCTCGGTGGACATGGGAAAGTCAGTGGACGTTATATACCTTGACTTTAGCAAGGCTTTTGATACGGTCTCCCACAATATTCTTGCCAGCATGTTAAGGAAATGTGGATTGGATAAATGGATGGTAAGATGGATAGAAAGATGGCTAGAAGGCCGGGCCTAACTGGTAATGATCAATGGCTCGATGTCAGGATGGCGGTCGGTTTCTAGCGGAGTGCCCCAAGGTTCAGTTCTAGGACAGGTTTTGTTCAATATCTTTATTAATGACCTGGATGAGGGGATGGATTGCACCCTCAGCAAGTTTGCAGATGACACTAAGCTAGGGGGAGAGGTAGATACGCTTGAGGGCAGAGATAGAGTCCAGAGTGACTTAGACAAATGGGAGGATTGGGCCACAAGAAATCTGATGAGGTTCAACAAGGACAAGTATAGAGTCCTGCTCTTGGGATGGAAGAATCCCAAGCATTGTTACAGGCTGGGGACCAACTGGCTAAGTAGCAGTTCTGTAGAAAAGGACTGAAGCACTGGAATGGGTTACCTAGGGAAGTAGTGGAGTCTCCATCCCTAGAGGTGTTTAAGTCTTGGCTTGACAAAGCCCTGGCCGGGTTGATTTAGTTGGAATTGGTCCTGCCTAGAGCAGCGGGCTGGACTGGATGACCTTTTGAGGTCTCTTCCAGTTCTATGGTTCTATGATTCTATGGTAAATCAACCTGGCCAGGGCTTTCTCAAGCCGAGACTTAAAAACCTCTAGGGGTGGTGATTCTACCACTTCCCTACGTAACCCATTCCAGTGCTTCACCACCCTACTAGTGAAATAGTTTTTCCTAATATCCAACCCGGACCTCCCCTACCACAACTTGAGACCATTGTTCCTTGTTCTGCCATCTGTCACCACTGAGAACAGCCTCTCTCCATCCTCATTGGAACCTCCCTTCAGGAAGTTGAAGGCTGCTATCAAATCCCCCCACACTCTTCTCTTCTTGTTCTCTTCTCACTCGTTTTTAAAGTTATAGACCAGTGTTTCTTAAACTATGTTCCGTGGACAACTTGCAGAACAACTGGTGTTCTGTAAACAACTCGCAGGTGTGCCGCGACTTCTTCTTTGTTTTTATATATTTTTCATCTAACATTTTATGAAGAAAATATTCATAGGTGTTCCGCATAAAAGCATATTATTGTTTGGTGTTCCGTGGACTCAAAAAGTTTAAGAAACACTGTTATAGACTAACATGGCTCCCCCTCTGAGACTGTGCATTTACAACATCATTGTGAAAGTGCTGGGAGAAGCCATAGTGTTGAGGTGCTAAGGGCTCACACTATATCAAATTTAATACATGTTCCAAATTTGACCTATGATACCTCAGTCACCATCATATCAACGCTTGTAGAGCATGCTCCCTCCCTCCCACCATGGGCTTTCATCATCATATAAACAGGTTTCAATTATACTGCTGAAGTACCTGAAGTTTCCCTGGATTTACACCAGAGAAACTAAGATAAAAATCTGAGCCACCCAATGCAAATTATTATGAATGAAGCTAACAGTTTCCATGAGAAAATCTCTCCAACTCCTGCACATGTCCATACTTTAACTGTACAGTACTCTTGCAGTCAAACTTTCAGGCTATGTCTACACTACTTTTTTGTGTGTGTGGAAGGGCAATGCAAATGAAGCGCTGATTAGCAATTTCTCACACTTCATTTGCATTGTCTCTTTCGATCCATTTTTGTGCAAAAACATGCAGTGTGGACATTTCCGTTTTGCACAAGATCCATTTACATTGCTCTTCCGCAAAAAAAACGTAGTGTAGACATAGCCTCAGATGCCCCCGTGAATGCATGCTGACACTTCTGGCTTTTGAGTCATGATCTTACAAAGCATATTACATAGATCTGAATTCCCTGCAGCCTCATGGACCACGCTGAGGCTATGTCTAGACTACACTAGACTTTCGAAGGAGGATATACAAATTCCGTGGAAATTTGCATATCAACTTTGGAGCTCACGTTAAAAAGCGGCACTTTTGAAAGTGAAAGTAATCTAGACATGGCTTTGTCGGCAAAATCCCCCGTTTGTCAACAAGCTCCTTTTCCTTAAAAAATGAGGTTTACATGGCTTGTTGACAAACGGGGAGGGGTTTGCAGACAAAGCCATGTCTAGATTATTTTCACTTTCTAAAGTGCCGCGTTCGAAAGTGAGCTCGAATGAAGATATGCAAATTCCCACCGAATTTTTATATCCTCTTTTGAAAGTCTAGTGTAGTCTAGATGTACCTTTAAAGTTGAAGGCATTCAGCCTCTTGCAGGATGTAGAACAATGGTGCAGTTTTCGGTTTTAGGGACCTAAATGTACTCTAGTTCCTTCTCACATTTTGTATCAATGTCTTTAACTTGAGCTGCTGTGGCTTTGGGGGTCACTCAGCTACTTCAGTGGCTCTGGGGTTTAGAACTGCTTAGAGTGCTGATCATACCATAGGTCTTGATCTTTAAAATACCAAAAAGAGCAAATTAGAAGCTATAAATTCACTTACATTTTGTTGCAGAAGCACTTTCATATATAGTCCTTCCTACTGGAGAAGAAAAGTTTCAATCATGTAAAAGAATTCTGCATTCCTTCGGATCAATTTTAGAACTGGAACTGAAGGTGGGCGTGGGATTATTTTATTCCCAAATGAAGGTCCTTGTGCATTATGCAAGAGCAGGGTTAATGGCTGGGGGAGCTATTTACCTTTATGTTTCTTAACTTATGTAATTAAAATCTAAAAGAAATATTTCATTAACAGAATCATAGGATGAGAAGGGACCTCCAGGGGTCATCTAGACAGGTCTAGTGTTATCTAGACTAGTGGTTGTCAAACTGGGTCAGGACCGGGGTTCCCTCGAAGGTGCACCTGAGTGGGTGTGCACGAAACATTGACCACCCGCCCACTTCCTCAGAAGAGCTGCAGTGACTGCTCGGCTGCTCAAGGGCGGGGCTGCGTGGCGGATGGCTCTGGCCCCAGCTTCAGCCCTTCTGCAGGGCTGGAGCTGCTGCGGTCCACATGGCAGGTGGTTACTTCTCCGGCGGCCCCAGCGGGAGCCAGAGTCAGAACATGAGCCTTGTTGCAGGAGGCTGCTCCTCCAGTGCCCTGGCTGGGGGGGGGGGGGGGGGCAGCTGCTCCTCTGGTGGCCCCAGCCAGGCCAGAGCCTGAGCCGTGCATGCACAGAGCTGTGTGCACACAGAGACTTAAAAACCTCTAGGAGATTCCACCACTTCCCTAGGGAACCCATCCCAGTGCTTCACCACCCTCCTAGCGAAATCATTTTTCCTAATATCCAACCTAGAGCTCCCCCACTCTAACTTGAGACCATTGCTCCTTGTTCTGCCATCCGTCACTACTGTGAAGAGTCTTTCTCCAGCCTCTTTGGAACCTTCCCTCAGGAAGTTAAAGGCTGCTCTCAAATCCCCCCTCACTCTTCCCTTCTTACTCTTGTTTTTAAAGTTAAAGACTAACATGGCTCCCCCTCTGAGACTGTGCATTTACATCATCATTGTGAAAGTGCTGGGAGAAGCCATAGTTTTGCGGTACAGAGGACTCACACTACAATCCAATTTAATACATCCTCCAGATTTGACCTATGATACCTCAGTCACCACCATATCAACCCTTCTGGCACACCTCCCTCCCTAACCTTAAAAAGGTATTATCCTTTTTGTACAGCATTATATACACTACACGCGGCACGGGGTTCGAACAAGCCGGCATTTAAAAATGGCGCCGGCCGGCTTATGCAAATGAAGCCCGGGAAATTCAAATCCCGGGCTTCATTTGCAAGTGCGGTATGCCTACATTACCACCCTAGTTCGAACTAGGGTGGTAGTGTAGACATACCCTAAGGGAGTTTGGGTCCAGGGGGCTCACGGCTGGGGCAGTAGCTTGGGGTGCTATGGGGGGGGTCATGACTGAGGCAGGAGTTTGGAGCTGGCTCCAGCTGGGCACTGCTTATCTGAGGTGGCTCCTGGGTGGTGATGCAGTGGGGCTAATGCAGGCTTATCTCTGCCCTGGCCCTGCATCACTTCCAAATCAGACAGCAAAATCCCTCCTTCCCAAGCCCTGTTGTGCCCCCGTCCATTCTGTGGAGAATGGAGGGGGGGCACTCTGACATAAGCACCCCCTCTGCTTCCTCCCCTGCCCTGCACAGCAAGCCGGAGGCTGGGGGGTGGGAAGGGGTGACCAGGAGACAGCTCTAAGGCAAGGGGCAGGAGGTGTGCTGCAGTGAAGGAATTAGCAGCTGACATACTGAGCTTGGTAGCCCCTTGGCCAAACCTGTCAGGGTCAGCTGTCAGAGACTCCAAGATCTACCAGTAGATCTACTGCTTGGTGACTACTGATGTAGAACAACAGTGCAGTTGCTGGTTTTAGGGAGCTAAATGTACTCTAGCGCCTCCTCACATTCTGTATCAGTGTCTTTAACTTGAGTTGCTGTGGCTTTGAGAGTCACTCAGCTACTTCAGTGGCTCTGGGGTTTAGAACTGCTAGAGTGCTGCTCATACCATAGGTCTTGATCTCTAAATTACCCAAACAAACCAACAAAGAAACAAAAAAGTGAATTAGAAGCTATACATTCACTTACCGGTTATTGCAGAATCATGAAAATGTACATCACTTCTTACTGGAAGAGGAAACGTTTCAATCATGTAAAATAATTCTGCATTCCTTCGGATCAATTTTAGAACTGGAACTGAAGGTGGGTGTGGGATTATTTTATTCCCAAATGAAGGTCCTTGTGCATTATGCAAGAGCAGGGTTAAGGCTGGGGGGGCTATTTACCTTTATGAGTCTTAAGTTATGTAATTAAAATCTAAAAGAAATGTTTCATTAACAGAATCATAGGATGGGAAGGAACCTCCAGGGGTCATCTAGACAGGTCTAGTGTTATCTAGACTAGTGGTTGTCAAACTGTGGGTCAGGACCAAGGTTCCCTCTAAGGTGCACCTGACTGAGCGTTCACGAAACATTGACCACCCGCCCACTTCCTCAGAAGAGCTGAGCTTTGGCCCCAGCTTCAGTCCTTCCCCAGGGCTGGAGCTGCTGTGGGCCACATGGCGGGTGGCTGCTCCTCCGGCACCCCCAACTAGAGCCAGAGTCAGAGCATGAGCCACGTTGCGGGCAGTTGTTCCTCCAGGCCCCACAAAGCACAGGACCAACCTGCCTGTTGACCGTAAATATTAAGCATCACCCAGTGAAGGTTATGTTAACCATTCACATCTCTATTTTGAATAGGAGTTCAATAGTTGGGCGTTATTGACTTTGTGCATGCGTGCACCTGCTAGGCTGGTTTTTATTTTTAAACAACTCAGCTAGTGGCTTTTTTTGAGCTTTTAAAAAATTTTAAGTAAACTTTTTTTGTATTTTATAGGAATACCTATAATTTATTTTAAAATTTTTATTTTAATGGCAATTTTTATTGTTTTAGTTGCTTTATTTTTGACAAAGTGATTCACGGTATTTATTTTGGATTTCTCTTTTTATTTTCACTTTATTTTATGTTTAATATTAATCACATAAGAAAAAAAATTAAACATTGTGAAAGCATCAGTATACTTGAAGAGTTAGTTTACAAAGTGAAGGCAGTCAGTAGATTCTCACTGCCAGATAAAGACTAGCTGTCAGTTTTGCAACCTTTTAATAAAATATTTGAATGAATTTTTAGTGGAATTTTTAAAAAGCTGATTTATTTTATAGATATAATTTTTTGTAAGTTATTTTTGAAAATCTGAGTTCCCTTGTTATGTTTATTATGGAAGCTTCACAGGGTAGCGGAGTTAATCTGTACGGAAAAAACAACATATGGTCTGGTAGCACTTTGTAGACTAACAAAACATGTAGATGGTATCATGAGCTTTCATGGGCACAGCCCACTTCTTCAGATGACCGAAGTTTTGTTTTTAGGATGTGCAGACCCAAAATAAAAATGTTTTGTTAGTGCTACCAGATCATTTGTTATGTTTATTATGAGAGACTAAATATTTTAAACTTTCTTGGTTTACCTTTTACTAGCTGAAGTTTCAAACTTTTTTGTTTTTAAAATGATTTTAGACTTTCAAAGAGCTTTGGGAGGAGGAAGGGGGTGTGAGCATAAATGGCAAGTTATGAACAAATGACTCGTTTAAGTTGCTTACCTATCTAAACTGCTAGTCATTTTTATATTTAAGTTTTGACCAAGGTTGGTTCTTTTTTTACCCAGCTGAGATCTTTTGATCTGGGCTTTAATAACTTCTGTATTTTAGCAACACAGCCACTGTGTTCGATTTATGAACTGTTGATTTACGATCGTTCGCATTTACGACCAAATCTCCCATTAAGCAATTGTAAAGGTGATCCCCGAGTTATGAATGCGACCGCGCTTACGAACAGTGTGGTCACAATGTAATTCAATGGGGTCCGACTTATGAACATTTCGAGTTATGGCCAAGTGTTTGGTCCATAACCTGTTAGTAACTCGGGGACCGGCTGTAGTTAGCTTCATCTTAATTGGGATTGTTAACGTACCTGCTACAACCACAACCATTCATTATTTACAGGCTCTTTTGTTACAAATCCCCCATTTCCTTCAGAATGATGGTCAGGCCTTCCATGGTGTGTGTGGTGACAAATCACATAGTGCAGGGGTGTCAAAAAGCAGATTGTGGGACAAAGACAGGACATTGGCACTTGGGGTCAGCCATCATAATAAAGATGCATGACTGAAAGCGCTGATTTAACAGTTCATTTGATTCTTTGTGACTGGGAAAGGGCAGTTTTAGCGTCTTTCTTCCATAACATTTCATTTTTATTTATATATATATATATAGTGTGGCATGACCTTAATATTTATGCACAAGACAAAACGCAGTCCGCTCATGGATGAAAAATCTTAGAGGGAACACTGGCCAGGACCCCAAAGTGGGTTGTGATCCTGTTTTAATGGGCCCACCGGGGCTGATGTTAGACTTGCAAGAGTCAAAGCTGAAGGCTCAGCGGAAAGTCAGAATCTCCCTCCCCTCCTCTGCCCCGCCCCTGGGTCTTAGTCTCACCTCCCAAGGCTGATGCTGAAGCCTGACGTGTCAGTGCTATGAGTTATAGGCCCTATGGCTGAGGCTGAAACCCTTGGACTTCAGCTTTGCCACCTCCCCCTTGGGGGCAGTGGACAGGCTCTGTCCCATCCTACCCCTGGGGCTGTGTAGTAACTTTTGGTCTCAGAAGAGGGTTGCGGTGCAATGAAGTTTGAGACCCCTGATCTAGACCATCCCTGACAGGTGTTTGTCAGGGACGGAGACCAAAACCTAAAAACTTCCAGGGAAGGAGACCAAAACTTTCCTAGGCAATGTATTCCAGTGCTTAACTACCCTGACAGGAAGTTTTTCCTAATGACCAACCTAAATCTCCCTTGTGGCAGTTTAAGCCCATTGTTTCTTGTCCTATCCTCAGCGGATAAGGAGAATAATTTTTCTCCCTCCCTGAAACACACTTTTAGATAGTTGAAAGCTGTTATGTCCCCTCTGAGTCTTCTCTCATCTAAATGAAACAAACCCAGTTCTTTCAATTTTCTCTGGTAGGCCATGTTTTCTACACCTTTAAACATTTTTGTTGGTCTTCTCTGCACCTTCTCCAGTTTGTCCACCTTCTTCCTGAAATGTGCCTTCGTTGGTACAATACTTCAGTTGAGGCCTAATCGGTGTAGAGCAGAACAGAAGAATTACTTCTTGTCAAGGGCGGCCCGTGGATGTAGGCAACCTTGGCAGTTGCCTAGGGCACCGCGTTTAATACGGCGCCCAATGATGACGTCATGCCATTGAGGGCTATGGAGGCAGGGGTGCCAATCGCGCATTCCGCCTAGGGAGCCAGTTGCCAGCAGCTCTCCTCCAGCTGCTACTGCTTCTTGTGTCTTGCTCATAAAATTCTAGCTTAGGGGTGGGCTACTTCAAAATTTTTTGAAGTGGCCCTGGGCTGCTCCGGAAAGGGCGGGGACTCAAACAGAAGAGGCGGGACCAGGATGCTTCTGGGCTTCCCCACCCCCAGACTATGATTGGTCTGGAGGTGGGGAGGCCCCTTTTACCCCTCCCCAAGTTCCCCCTAGGCACCCATGCCTCTGGTGGTTGAAGGAGACTTCCTGTGCTCCCTCACTACCAGGCCAATCAGGGCCTTGAGGGGCGCACAGGAAACCCCCTCTTGTCCTGCCAGGAGCCCATGGCAGTTCTGAGTGAGGGATCTTCACAGGGCGGGGGTAGGGCAGAGGAAACTTTGCATGCTCCCTGCTCCCTCAGGCCCTAATTGGCCCGGGGGTGGGGGAGAGGCAGGGCCTCCATGGGCCTGATCAATCCACCTGGCGGGCCAGATCCAGCCTGCGGAAACCCTTTTGCCCACCCCTGTTCTAGTTAATACATCCCTGAATGCGATTTGCTATTTTCCAGTGTCACACTGTCGACTCATATTTAGCTTGGGGTCCACTATGACCCCTAAACCCCTTTCTATAGTACTCCGTCCTGGGTTGTCCTTTCCCATTTTGTGTGTCTTCATGCGACTGTTCCTTCCTAAGTGGAGTACATTGCATTTGTCTTTATTGATCCGATTTACCTGAGGCTACTTCTTCAGTTTGTTTAGATCATTTTGGATTAAAATCTTATCCTCCAAAACACTTCCAACCCCTCTCAGCTTGACATCATCTGCAGTTTTACAAGTAAGGATATTAAGGAGCAGGTATTTGGCTAATCATTTAGTCGATGCAATTTATATCGATTACATGATTAGTCGAGAAGGGGAGGTGATCTGCAGAGCCACGGAGGTGACAGCACCTGGAGCTGGCGTGAGCTTGCACCGGCTCCGGGACCACTGCAGCTCTGCATTTTGAATGTCGTAAGAGTCACCAGCTTCTTATTATATTTAAAATGCAGAGCTAGAGTGCAGGTGGCTCCCATAGCTGGTGCAAGCCGGGACTGAGTGGTCCTGGTTCGCGCCAGCTCTGGGACCCACTGTGGCTCTGTCTTTTAAATGTAGTAAGAGCTAGGTGGCTCTTACTACATTTAAAAGGCAGGGCTACAGAGGGGTAGGTCCAGTTCCTGGCATGAGCCAGGACTGAGCAGTCCCGGCTTGTGCCCGGTCCCAGATTACTGCATTTAAAATGCAGAGCTGCAGCTGTCCTGGTTCCCACCAGCATCGTCTCCACAGTGCTGCCTTTCCCCCACCTGCTGCTGCCTTTTAAGCCAGCTCCCCCCAGTACTGCCTCTTGTTTCCCCCGCTTGCTGTCTCTGATACAGAGACAGCGGGAGGAATACGGGGATGTGAGTAGTCGAGTACTTGACTTGACTACTTCCTTACATCCCTATTTACAAGTATACTTTCTATGCCATTATTTAAATAATTGATGAAGATATTGAACAGAACCAGTCTAAAACTGATCCCTGCGGAACCACACTTGTTATGCCCTTTCAGCATGACTCTGACCCATTGACAGCTAGTTTCTGGAAATGATTAGCCAACCATTTATGCATCCACCTTATAGTAGCTCTATCTAGGTTGTATTTCCCTATTTTGGTAATGAGAAGACCATGAAAGGCAGCATCAAATGCCTTACTCAAGTTTAGATTTACCACATTTACTGCTTCACCCTTATCCACAAGGCTTGTTATCCTG